AATGTAAAAAAGAAAATATTTGGAACATTTCAAATATACTGAATATAATACAGAGTGTGTTTTTCAATTGTGTCACTTAAATTGTGTGCTCCTATATATCGTATCTTGAGGTTGGGGATATGGAAATCCAGCAGTATTAAAACGGGCCTACTTGGTCAAAGTGTATCCTCGGAAAGCCATTTCAACCTAAACCTAGATCGTATATTATGCAAAGAAAATATTAAATTTAAAACTTTTTTCTTTAAAACTTGGCAAACAAGTCAAAAGAAAATTCGAAGAAAAGTTCCGCTCAGAATTTTAAATTTCATGCAGTGTGTATAGTAGGCGGCGCTGTGGCATATAAAGCATTTTAAGCGCCCAGATTATTTCAAAAGTAACCAAGGCCCTCTCAATTCATCAATAATTTTTCTCAGCTTAAACTTAAAGTACTCTATGAACTATTAAAGCGTTATAAATTTATGTAAGTACCCATCAACAGTAAAATCTAATTAATTTAACTGTTAAGAAAAATCTGTTATATTAATTAATATCTGTTAAGAAAAATAAAACACAACTTTTATATCCCGATTTACGGAAAACAATAACTAACTTATTCTATTGTTTGAGGTACTTATTTAAAACATTTTTCTCAACATAATAAGGAACACTCTCTCCAAATACTCGTTTAAATACTGCGAATTTTTAAATATTAAATATATATATAAGTGAAAACAGGACGTTTTGCTGAAATAATTAATTTTTCTTTTCTTTCTTTCAAATTTAATTTTTTGTGATTCAGTTTGGCCTTCTTTTTTTTCTCAGCTTGTACAAATTTATGCAGTTGGAATGAATGAAGAATTTTTCTTTCATTTTGGCTTACTCTCTTGTACACGACAATATTTTACTTTTATTTCTTTTTTTGTATTTTAGAAAATTAAACCAGGGCAGCAATTATTTGCTTTTGAACTCCCACCTGATATTGTCAAATTTATTCGATGAGAAAATAAAATTTAATTTTTGGAGTTTTGTTCTCTTTATTTTGATTTTCGTTTTTATCATGTTTCCTTCATATTAATTGAGAATTTTGTCTTTTAATACTTGGAGGATAAAAATAGTCTTCGACAAAATTTTTGGATTAACAACAATCAGAAGCAACTAATTTTGCTTTTGACAGTTAAACTTTATTAGTCAAATTCTCCAACCATTTTATTTTTATGAATGTTCGACGGTTGAATGCTCAATATTGTATGACTTTCTATACCATTTAGAAAATATATAATACAATTTTGACATTCATAATCAGTATATCGGCAAAATTATTATAAACAAACCTGTAATTATTATGAAAATAATTGAAAATGAAAGAATCGTTTTATTAAAAAATCACGATAAGCAAAATTATTCAATTATACCAAACTGGATTTGTCTACAGACAAAATTAACTACAAAAAGTTAATTTAAATGAATGGACCAGCCTGTGGGCCTCTTAGGTTCATCTGTTAACACCGTCCGATAATTTTCTATTGAGTTGAAACTACATTAATTAAGGAATTGTACGAGAAAATCAAAGATTTTTAAGTATTTTCAAAATTTTTATATTCTAACAGATTTTATGTCATTACTGTGCTTGTATTCTACCACAAATAGCACAAATTTTCGGTAAATTTTTCTATATACGAAAACTAAGAACAAATATGTGAAAAAAGTCATATTGTGTATGTCACCTAACTTAGTTTTCCCTCTCTATTTTTTTTTATTTTGAGGTCGAACAACGATATTACTTAATATTTGTCTTCAATAAATAATGCAAAAAGTAAATTTTAAGTATAACAAAAAAAACAAAAAGTCATGTGGTCCCATTTAATATTATTTGTGATGCCATAGGACATAATTTATTTTCAACGTCTACAGCGACTATAGGAATTGGGAGGAGGGGACCGAAGGAAATAATAAAAAACAGAAATTGCTTACCGTTTAATTTTATAACTAAACAACACAGTAAATATTTATTATTATAATATGGTTTTTGTCGTCCACCTTCTTTTTAAATGAACTCTACGAACGTCCCACTTAAACTTCAGTTGAATCTCAGTGAAAAATTTTCATCGTTCCATTGTGGTAATTTTATGTTTTCCTCAAAATAATAAGGATAAAGAGAACAAAAAACGGAAAAAAATTCTTGTTTTCCACTACCTACGACATTAATATAAAAAAGGATCAAAAAATTTTTTCCTCATAAAAATATTTTCAGAGTTCTTCATATTGTTATTTTTGAATTAAATTTAATTATTATTACCCGATTCCGGTATAAATATTAACTCGTACTTAGTTCAATGAGTGTGCACTATATTACCATTAGTTTTTATGGTATATTCAAAAATTATTTTACAAAAAAAAATGTAATTTAATATTCTTATGGTGTAACGCTTATGGTTTAAGAATGTCCTAATTAACGGTAATAATATGGTGGAGAAAAAATAAAGTCATTAATGTTTTATACTTGCACAATCAAAGGAAAGTATTATGATAAAATATTGAATTGCAATAAAGCTGGTATTGTTACAGTTGGTTTAGAAAAGTTAGGGAATAACTCATTCTTTATAAAAAAGTATTATGATAAAATATTGAATTGCAATAAAGCTGGTATTGTTACAGTTGGTTTAGAAAAGTTAGGGAATAACTCATTCTTTGTAACTAGTAATATAATAGGGAAATATTAAGAACCTTCAATAAAATTTTAGAATGACGTAAAAAAATAAATAACCACAACTACGTCGTAGCGGTAGTAAAATTTAAACTTAATTTTAGGAGCAAAAATAAAGATTCCTGATTTATTATTGTTATATTTGCTAAATTTTCAAATTGTTACATTAACGTAACAACAAATACTCGTAACAAAAAACCAAAAATTTACCATAAACAAAAAAGTTGCTGATTTCAACAATAATAATTGACGATCATTTTGACATATGGGTTACAATGACGAACAAATGTGTTTAATAATAATAGGTTATTATTACCACAACCACTCGCACAACTGAAATCTAAGTCTATCCAAGAAATCTATACTAACTTAGTTTTGATCCACGTATACTTAATAAAATTAACAAAACTTGACATTACTGATAAACCTATTCGAAATTCGGAAATACTGTATAAAATAAGAATAAACTGGCAAGATTTATTCTATATATATTAAAAGAGAACGGGAATAAAATGTTATTCCTTAAGAAAAGCTTCATTTTTGTTTTTTGTATTAAACGTATAAATACAATCTTAAGTATTAGATTAATTTGTTATACAACAGTATATTATAACGCCTATAGTATATGTATGTAGACATTATAATTTATAATTAAATAAGACTATAATTTAACACGGAGCATATAATAAGAAAACTTTTTTATTTTATTCCAATAGAATGTAAAAGGACACATATAAAAAGTGTCAAAGTAAAACAACAAAAATTTGTACCTGTACGTAATAACCACTAAAACATAAGAAACTTAAGTCATATAACCTTATTTACAACAAATTTGGGTAAGATTTTTGAAAATACACATATACAAGACACAAACAAATTTTATTAAAGTTTTATAATAAAATGTTAAGGTAATTTTAAAAAGTATTATTTTAATGAGAAAAAGTAGATAACTAATACCTAGTCACATTCCTGTTTATACTTTTATATGTTTTAACAAGCGTAAGAAATTCCGACAAACGGAATTGTTTACGAAAGAAACTTCGAATACAATGACGGCACATACTATATTTCATAATTGTTATTCGATTAGGTTTAAGGGACTTGTAAATCGAAAAATTTAAACTCTTAGGAGAACCTGAAAATGTTTATGAAATGTAGCTAAATTCTGAGGCACCAAAATGTTAAAGATTAATTACGTATCTGTTTATAAACATAACTACATTAAATATACAAATTGTCAAAAAAAAAAGAGTTTTTAATAATGTATTGTCATTTAAAGTCAGTGAGAAATATTGACCAGTAGCAAATTTAATTTTTGGGGTAAGGCAATTTAAATTTAAAAAATTTTTAGAGAAATCAATTTAAAAGTTCCTGACTACCATGCTGGTTACATTCAGTAAACATTTTGTAAAAAATCAGTAGTACCAACTATTTAAAAAAAGTACATAACAGTCATTGGCAGAAAATTTCTATATACAATACATACAATACAATATTTTATTAATACATAAAAGTAACTTAAATATGTATAGAAAAATTTCAATTCAAAAGAACACCCGAATAAAAGATGAACTCATTAATTTATTACTATATAATTATTTTAATTAAAGTTTAGGATCTTTCTAAATTACTTAAACAAAAACAAAAAATAGGAAGAAAGAAGTAGGAAGAACGTGTTCTGCAGAAGCTTCCTAATATTTTACATGGAACCAAACGAAATAATAAAAAATTTATAAGGTTTTTCAACCTGTAAACCACATGAATTCTCTACATAATAAATTAGGTAATTTTTCTTTTTCTTGCCCCAATGTTCTTTTCATTGTTTTTTCATTCGTTCCGTCAGATTTGATTGAATCACGTAAATAAGATTTACAGATTGTTTTTAATTACATTTTTATATTATTTTAGTTATTTGGAACAAAAATAAAATTTAAAAATTATTTACTTTTTATGTTAATTAATGTATATACAGCATTTTGTAATTTAATAGAATCAACGATAATAATAGTGATTATATTGATTGAAAATGATTATATTTTATTTTATTACCAAATTTTAGAAAAAAAAAGTTGATTGAAAAAGATATTTTCGTTTTTTGAGATCCAAATTGGATTTTAAAATTAACAATTAATTGAAATCGTTGATGAATAATGAAAATTGGGCAATTTAAAATTAATATATTGATTACATTTTTGTAAAATATTTGGCATGCATAGCCTTAATTACATTATCTTTAACTTAATACATAATTTATTAAAATTTCCTTATATAGATTAATTTTTACTTTTAATGGATCGTTCTTTTTTTTCAATTACAGAAAACGGACTGTTAAGCTACGAAAATCCAAATTATCACATGGATCCACAAAGAATTGAACGTAATTCTCATTTGTATGAGGAAATATTATCGGAATTACATCAGCAACAAAGTTCCTTAAAAAATCCAAATAAACCACATATTGTTAGTAGCCGTAAGGATTATGCCCGGATTGATATTGAATCAATGGGAGTTGATTTAAAAGAAAATTTCAGGCAAGTTTCAAATTGCATTTTTCTCTTTGTTTTTAAAAATACAGGTCAAAATCATCGAAGGATAAAGATAGGCGGTCATAAATTCCTAAAACTAGTCAAACTGACTAACCATTAGTTTTGTTCTATCGTGTTTTTGTGGCTATATTGAAGTAGGGCAAGGAAGTGCTGGCAATGCACTTTAGGCTAATTCAAAAGGTCTCGTTCGCTTCAGTCTTTTTGCCCAAACCCTCTCCCCTATAAGTCTGCAGGCCTCGATATTTACACACTGTTCCAAACATGCCCTATGTTTCATGGCAAAGTTCGTTATCTCCTCACTTTCTTGAACTTTATCATTTGGTTATATATCAACATCTTATTGTATGTTGACGATCCAGACTCACGACCTAGGAGTCAATTGTAGATTGTAGATTTGTGCAACGGGGCAACAATGCACCGCGACCACCGATAATGATCTATTGCACCCTCCTGATGAACTCAAGCAACTTGTGAGGACCAGAAGACCGTAACTCCGCTACCCTTAGAGCAAAGCTTCCCAGCACCTCCCCCCTCCTACGAGCAAGAGGATCACACTCCCCCAGGAGGTGCACTGAGGTCTCTCCATACTCCCCACAGAATCTGCAAGTATCCTCATTTTCCAGGCCCAGCCGACTGAGGTGTCCCCTAAGCCTGCAGTGACCCGTCAAAATGCCGGTGAGGACTCTCACCTGGTTCTTGCCCATCCCTATAATTTTCTTAAATCGCTTCTGGTCATATTCACCCAGGAGCTCTTTGGCTTGCCGCAGCCCCGGAAGACTTCTCCAGCGCTCCGACCGCCTTCTTTCTGATTCTTTCCTTAATTCCCAACGAATCGTATGTGGTCCAATCCCGCAGAAGGGCTCCGGCCCAAGAAGAGGTGTGCCTGCCCCCTTCCTCGCAAGCGCATCAGCGGCCTCATTTCCTTCCACGCCCACATGGCCCGGCACCCAACACATGTTGACCCAGTTGCATCTGCCTAACTCATTGAGCTTCTCAAGACAGCCCCATACTGCCGCCGAGGATACCGAAAACGAGTTCAGCGCTCCGATCGCAGCCCGGCTATCCGACATAATCATTATTTCCTTTCCCCGATACCCCTTTCTAGACTGAACCGTACGTGCAACTCAGCCCGACACACACTCGGAAAAGTTCCCATAGGTTCGGAGAATTTGGTCCTTGGCCCAAATACCCCCGCTCCAGTACTGGTCTTTGACCCATCTGCGTACCATCTAATAACGTGTGTTCCACCTGGGAGGCCCGAAAAGTCACGCTCCCAGTCCCTTCTGTTACTCAGCAACGAGGCAAAATTTTTCTCTAAGCTGTATCTCCCTACCATGTCGTCTCTAGGCATCGATAGGAGCGGAACCTCGCCGACAAGACGACCCCGATCTCTCACACCGATTATTCCGGCTCCATTTCTCCCCAACCTGAAAATGGCAGCCTTCGCTGCCATCTCCACAACAAGGTGCAAGGGGGTTAGTCCCAAAATCACCTCCATTGCCGCCGTTGGACAAGTTCTCATAGCCCCTGTGATGCAGACGCATGCGAGTCTCTGCAATCGTTCCAGGTTCCTTCTAGCCGTACCAAGAGCCACCCTTCTTGCCCATGCCACTGCTCCATAAGTTAGGAGCGGCACGACCATCATGGTATACTTCCACCACATGACAGACGAGGAGCAGGCCCACAACCTGCCCGAGATGGCCCTGCAACCATAAGTGCCCGGGTTGCCCGTGTACACACAGCTTCCTCGTGACTTCGCCAAAGAACTTGGAATCAAACACCACTCCTAAGTATTTGACCTCCGATTTTCTCTCTACAGCAGCTCCGCACACTTATATTGTGCGCAGATGCTTCAGCTTCCTTCTCCTAGTGAAAGGCACCAGGGTCGTATTGTCAGGGTTAAGCCTGTGGCCCACTGTATCGCACCAGGTCCGGGCCACCCGTAATCACCTTTGGATTATATCACAAAGAGTTCCCTCAAACTTACCTCTAGCGATGATGACTATATAATTGGCATAAGCCTGGACACCGATTCCCTGACGAAGCAGCTCATCAAGGAGTTCATCCACCACCAAACTCCACATTAGCAGGGACAGAACCCCATCCTGTGGACATCCCCTGGCCACGCCCATTCTTAGGGTGCTCTGCCCCACAGCAGTCTCTGCTACCCTCATAGCCAACATATTGGACATCCGTAGAGAGGTGCCATCATCCACGTCTCTACGCCTGAGGACGCCCGCAATCGCTTCATGAGAAGTGTTGTCGAAGGCCCCTCGATGTCCAGAAACGCGCATAGCGCCATCACTCCCTGTTCTATTGCGCTTTCTAGGGTACTGGCAAGGCGAAACAGAGCAGTCTCTGTTGACCTACCCGCCCGATACGCATGCTGGCAATAGCTCACCGGCCTCCTCGCCACCACCCCCACTCGGACATGGTTATCGATTATTTTCTCCATCGTCTTCAATAAGAACGAAGTGAATCTAATCGGTCTGAATGACTTTGGCACCATGTCCCTTCTTCCCACTTTGGAAATAAAGACAACCCTAGCCACCCGCCAGGACTCGGGAATGTATCCGAGAGCCAAGCTACTTCTTAATATTCTTATTAAGAAAGGCATAATTGGCTCCAGCCCGCGTTGCAGAAGTGCTGGTGAAATCCCATCCACTCCAGACGCCTTGAAGGGCTGAAAAGTGCCAACAGCCCACCTTATTCTTTCCTCCGTAATTATGCGCGAAGCTCTCCGCCAACCCTCATGACGTGGTGTTTTGCATTCCCACGCCCCGGATCCGACATACGGAGTACTGCCAGGGAAATGCGCCTCCAGGAGGAGAAGAGCCCTTTGCTCCTCGTTCTCCGTGTAGCCGCCATCCGGCCTCTTTAAAGAAGCAGTCACTGGCACCCGGTCTCTAGCCAGGGCCCTGTGTAGCCTCGCAGCCGCCGGCGTCTCCGCTATGCTCCCGCAGAATGATCTAAAGCTTATGCGCTTAGCCCTGCGGATCTCCTTGCTGTAGGCTATCAGGTTCATCTTGTACTCTTCCCAAGTACCCTCTCGCTTAGCTTTATTGAAAAGCCTGCGAACCCCGACTCTCAGGTCCACGCGGGGTCCACCAAGGTGCATCTGTGAAATCCCTTGGCACACTAATAGGGCAGTTCGACTCAAAAGCCTCGACCATAATTCCTCCGCGCTCCTCCACAGCCCTTTAGAACACCAGGGGATGCCTGGCCACAGTTGTAACCGAGGCACCCGACAGTTTTGCCTCCAGGTCCTTTCTGTATCCCTCCCAGTTTGTCCGCCTCGGATTTCTGAAAGAAGATTTCTCCTCCATCAACCCACCCAGACAAAACCGGATCATTCTATGATCTGACATAGAAGCCTCCCTCGATACCTTCCAGTCGCGTACCAGAAACCCCACATTTGGACTGCCGAATGTGATATCCAGTACCTGCTCTCTAACCCTAGTCACAAAAGTTGGGGCATTCCCTACATTAAATATTTCTAGGTTTTCTTTAACTACAAATTCTAATAAGGACTCACCTCTAGTATTGTTGTCGCTGCTCCCCCATGCAACGTGATGCGCATTTGCATCACAGCCCATGATGAGTGGCCACCTCTTCCTATTCCACTGCTCCACAAGCCTCATCAGGTGATTTTCCCTGCTTCAGGAAGCGCAGGTACCATCTGACACCTGCACCACTCAGTCCTCGTCTCCTCGGATCATCCAAGCCTCCAGGCTTCCTCCTTCTGCCCCCACGGTGCATCCTGGAAGGCTTGCGCCCACCATTGATAGCCTGCGAAGAATCGGAGGGCTTGCTCCGACTTTCCTCCATGGCATTCCTCCCTTTTTCGTTATTGCAAGGAGTACCACGGAGGTTAGTCTCCATTTCCTTTGCAACCCTCTCCTTTTTTGTTATGTCCAGTTGCTCCCGGACCATGACGGTGTTTTCCCGTCGTACCGATCTTTCTATTTTCTTTGTTTTATTTGTTCCATTTATGTTTTGGTCCCACGAATAGCTAGGGAAAGGGTAGTCCGCTACGCCAGAGCCCCGCATGACGTAGTAAGGTCAAAAATACTCTCTGAGGTGACCCGGTATCAAAGCGACTCCGTTCGCGGTAGCCAGTATACCCCCCGGCTACCAACTAGTCCACTAGGCACGGGTCATGAAACACCGTTGGATTGGGGGGGGGCTTATTGAAGGTAAGCTTACGCCGTTACTTCATGCCCAGGAGATTCTCTTGGTTTTCAGGTCTCACTTACGACCTTGTCGGCATGTTTGCACCTGCCACACACCACAGAGTCGTGGTATCCGCCGACATCGCTCCTAAGATCATTGACCCTACTTCAGCCCCTTCACCACGGCAAGGTGGAATCCCATCGAAGGAGTAGGAGTCAATAGTTTTCCCTATTTTTGTTTTCTAATTCTATTCTTTTTTTTCTTTTCATGCTCTTTCCATCTGAACTTAACATCCAAAGTCATACCTAAGTATTTCGCTGTATTGTGGATTGAGTGTAGTGGGTTCACTAAATTTTTGTTTGTGAAATTCATATGTACAAATTTAGATTTATTTAGCCTTATTTTCCATATATTTGTCCATTTACTTATATTGTTACTTGCTTCCTGTAATTTTTTTATCAATTCTTCAACATTTGATTGCACTGCCAATATTGATTTATCGTCTAAAAATGTAGCCAAAGTAGCACCTTTTAAATCTAGTAAACCACTTGTATAAAGCAAGTATAATATAGGACTCAGAATACTGCCTTGACGGGCACTAGCCCTAATTTCCCTTAACATAGAGTACTCGTCGTCCTGTTTGATTCGAAAAGCCTGTTACATAAATATGATTCAAGTAACTACACGAATTTCAAAGGTATAAATTTCTTAAGTTTAAATAATAAGCCGTCGTGCCAAACTTTATCTAACGCCTGACTACATCCCGAAATATTGTCGAGCATTTTTGCCTTTCCTCTAACCCCTTTTCCACA